GGCAGCGGCCCCGGCCTCCGCCGGCAGAAGAAGCTGCCGCAGCTCTTCGAGAGGGCCTCTTCCAAGTGGTGGAACCCCAAATTCGACTCCAACAACCTGGAGGAGGCGTGCATGGAGAGGTGCTTCCCGCAGACCCAGTGCAGGTTTCGCTATGCCCTCTTCTACATCGGCGTGGCCTGCCTGCTCTGGGGCGTCTACTTCGGCATGCACATGAGAGAGAAACGGATTGTTTTCACCGTGCCGGCCCTGTGCTTCCTCTTGGTATGTGTAGCATTTTTTGTGTTCACTTTCACTAAGGCTTACGCCCGCCATTACGTATGGACTTCGCTCATACTCACGCTCCTGGTTTTTGCTTTGACTCTCGCTCCGCAGTTCCAGACTCTGAAACCTATCTCAGGAAGTGGTGACATGTCCAATCGGACTCCCCCGGCAGATCCCACAGACACTTGTCTTTCTCAAGTGGGCAGTTTTTCTATGTGTATTGAAGTGCTCTTGTTGCTTTACACGGTGATGCACTTACCCTTGTATTTAAGCTTGTTTCTGGGGCTGTCGTACTCTGTCCTCTTCGAGACCTTCGGTTATCACTTCCGCGATGAGAACTGTTTTACACCTCTCGGAGCCGGTGCGGTTTACTGGGAGCTCTTGAGTAAAGCCTTCCTGCACATCTGCATCCACGCCATCGGTATTCATTTATTTATCATGTCTGAAGTCAGATCGAGAAGCACATTCCTGAAAGTGGGGCAATCCATCATGCATGGAAAAGACTTGGAAGTGGAAAAAGCCCTGAAAGAGAGGATGATTCATTCTGTTATGCCAAGAATAATAGCCGATGACTTAATGAAGCAGGGGGATGATGAAAGTGAAAACTCCGTCAAACGTCATTCCACCTCAAGCCCCAAAAACAGGAAGAAGAAGCCCTCCATACAGAAAACCCCCATAATATTCCGTCCTTTTAAAATGCAGCAGATAGAGCAAGTGAGCATCTTGTTCGCAGATATTGTTGGCTTCACGAAAATGAGCGCCAATAAATCTGCCCACGCCCTGGTGGGACTCTTGAATGACCTCTTTGGACGCTTTGACCGTCTGTGCGAGGACACTAAATGCGAGAAGATAAGCACTTTGGGAGACTGTTACTACTGCGTAGCTGGCTGCCCAGAGCCCCGGGCAGATCACGCGTACTGCTGCATCGAGATGGGGTTAGGTATGATTAAAGCCATTGAGCAGTTTTGCCAAGAGAAAAAAGAAATGGTGAACATGAGAGTTGGTGTTCATACCGGGACGGTCCTGTGTGGCATTCTGGGGATGAGGAGGTTCAAGTTTGATGTGTGGTCAAATGATGTCAATTTGGCCAATCTGATGGAGCAGCTCGGGGTGGCTGGAAAAGTCCATATTTCAGAAGCTACTGCAAAATATTTGGATGACCGTTACGAAATGGAGGATGGAAAGGTGATTGAGCGCGTTGGTCCAAGCGTGGTGGCTGACCAGTTAAAAGGTACGTGCTTTTGTTTTGTGCTCAGTCTTTTTTTTTTTTTCTTTTTTGTGAGGAGTATGTTTTCCCTAGTGCATCTTTTGTGCTTGCTGACTTGCAAATTGAACACGTTTTACATTTACCTCCGTGTGCTGGTGAGCAGAAACACCATGGGCATTATGGAATAAAAGACGCCACGGAGATAAGCGTGAAAGATCTTCTGGGGTACTCAAAATGTACTCAGGCTTCAAAACTCCCTGGCGCTCCTTGTGTGAGAGTCTCACATCGTAGGGAGGAGAAGGTTAATGTGTTTGCTGTCTGCAAGAGGTTTTTGTTTTACTGTTGTGTGTCATCCTTTAATTCAGTAAGTAAACTTGTTAATTGACTTCATGTGTCATACATAGAGCATATGTGTTTTGCAAAATTATGTATATCTGTGAAAAGTTTTTTTTGGCATTGGGAGAGTTGGGACTGCGAAGGCATTTGGGAAAAATGACAGCTGGATTCACAGAAAGAAATGAGCACTGTAGATTTGGCAGTTTGATATGGCAAGTTGTTATAGTTCGAAGTTAGGCTGGAAAAAGTTGCTCAGGTGGTTCAGCGAGCTGGCAGATGCTTTCGTTTTTGCAGCTCAAAGGATTTGGGGATGAAACTGCAGATTTGCCTTTTGGAAAAGAAAATGAGGGATCCTTCCATTCCCCTAATGGCTTGGCTAAGGGTCCGATTTTCATTTTTCTACAGAGTATTTGTTCTGAAATGAAACCCTTGACTGCTTTCTAGCAGCACGTAGCATCGCATGCTGGAGGAGTGTACATGCTGAGGGTTTAACTGTCCCTTTAGCAAACGCTGTGCCTTTGTCTCCCGGAGGTACAGTTGTCTGCAGTGCTGGTAGCCCAAGGTGGGGAGCAGACAAATCAAAGCAGGAGTGGAATATGGTGCAAACCCTTTTACGTGATGTGAGTTTATTCGTTCCGTTTGTAAACGTACCCGTCTGTATAAAGTAAGCGTGGAAAATGGAGTGGAAGAAACTGAAGGAGTCGCAGGATACCGTTGGGATGGAGGAAGGAGACATTTGTTGCAACAAACACAAAACTGGGCCAGGATGGTTGTGGAAAGGTCAGCGAGTAAGGACGGGAGGGGAGAGTGTTGCAAAACAGCGGTGGAAGCGGTAGCGGCAGGCTGCTCGCCGGTGGCAGGTGCTTATTTTGGTGTGACACAAATACTTATTTTTGGTGAGCTCACTGTCTGCATGCATATGGCAACAGGGCTGAAACGAGAGGCTTAGGGGGAGGAAGAGTGTCGACAGTGACATGGGTGGCTGGAAGCCGTAGGACTGAGGCAGATGTGTGTCCCTGGGCTTCGGCTTTCTGTTCAGCTTCTAAAAATACAGACTCAGTTAGTTTATGTGAGGCCTGTTGACACCGATGTATTTCAGTGGAAGCGTGCTTTCAGCAAAAAAGGATGAGACATAATCTCTCTGTTGCTCTAAGCTGAATCTTGCTGTTCTGCTGAAACTAAAGTGTGTAGGCTGTAGAGGAACAGCCCTGCGATATTTCCCTCCTCCACCTACCTTTACAGCCAGATGCAGTGTGAAGGCCATGTCATAGCAACAAATGAAAGGAAGTATTTCTGCTGAATTTATAACTGTACTCGGTATCATTAATCACAAAATGACATGGATGTACCTGTGGAGACTGATGGTATGTTTTTATTGATGTGTTTATATTTTCTAGGAGATCACAAGAGCACTGTGTAGAGCAGTTATACCCCATGCCAGGAGTGGTTTTTTTCGTGGTCTTTCTCAGACTTCTGTTCTGTCCTCGGTTGCATTTATAGCGAGAGGGCATAGGCTTCTGTGTCTCATCAGTACAGCGGTTCGGGTTTTGCAGCTTTAAATGCTTTTCACAGGTCCTGCTTTAGCCAGGGCACTACAGATGAACAAACTGAAATGCAATCTAGATAAGATGAAGCGTGCTTTGTGGACTGACATTTTAATGGTCTCTTCTTACCCTGAAACCTAGCTATGAAAGCAACTCGAGCATGTGATAAGAGCTACGTTACCGAGGAATATGGGTTGGGTTGGTTTTTTTTCCCCTTTCCCTGCTCTGTTTTGTGGTGGAACTGTAATTAGCTTCCATTTCTTATCCATGTTTTATATAGTTACAGAAATCAGAGTCTGTGTGTGGTTTCAAACCAAGCGGACCTCTGCCATGACCACCTTTATCCGCAGGTCTGTGGCACGCGTAGTCCTTCTCCCTCCTGTGGCCAGACCCTCCAGGGCACATGGTGGGTGCTACAAAGTTGCCCATTTTTTCCTGTTTATTCAGTACTTTGTTCCACAGTCAGATTACTTGACTGATAGATTGCTTTTATCATTGCCTTTTTTTTTTTTCTTCCCCAATGCCATTTACCTAACAGCAGTGCCACAGGCTGGCGTCTAGAACCGGCTGCAGGGGAGGGATTTGTTAAGGAGCAGCTCTGAGATTTAACAGAGTAAATTGAGATTTCACCTCTTAGTCCTCTGCCAAGCACCTGCTCAGTTTTGTGAACGGAGGTGCTGTTGGGAAGCTTTGCTTTACTATTTTCCCTGCAAATTTGTTGATAGTGATAGAGAAGAGGACGTTTGTTGTGGCTGTTTAATTATGTCTTACTCTTTTCAAGTATGAAAGTGCTGTGGAGATAACGGACATAAGCTTTGTTTCCCTACTGGTACTTCACTTCTCAGCTTCCTTTCAACTTTTGGTATCTTAATGATATCCTATTTTTTATGTTCTATGTCTAGTATATTATCTCTTAATTGTTTGAGCTGCCGCAGTAGTCATAGTTATCTTTCCGAGGCTAAGTCAACATGAACAAGTAAACTCTTGAGCAAAATGGGAGGTGCCGAGGGCTCGGTGTCCACGTTGAGCATATTTCAGGACTTCTACCTAAGACTAGTTGTGGACTGGGTCCTTGAAGAAAGGTACCCGTGTGGTTGGAGCACATCTTCTGTCTCGGTTCACCCCGAACAGGTACAACTCTGCAGTGTGCACCAGAACCGGGTACGTAGGAGGGAACGGGGCAAACTTCTTCAAAGCCGTGCTCCCCGTTGCATTTGAAATACTGATGTAGCTGTACCCTGAGTTGTCCTAGTGCTGCTCTCCTTGGTTTTTTCAGACTAGACAAGGCAAAAGTAGATATCTCTTTTCCTTGTGCTGTTTTGTGGTTCACTGAAGTCTTAGATGGAAATACCTTTTCTTCCTCCTTTGCTTCCTTGGCTCCTTATTGCAAGAAGTGGGGCCCTGGTATGTTCCCTCCTGTTTCTGACTTTTGAATGAAGTAGATGGTGTCTAAAACAAACCAACAAAGAGGGCGAGCCACTGATGACCTTACAGCGTTTTTGCCTGTTTCTGACTGCTGTTTGTTTTAAGATTGCTTAGGCCATCTGTTTTCACAGCGCCCGATTCCCTTGGATGTGGGGGGAGCGCAGGAGAGCAATGTTGTGGTGATTTTTTGAGGTCCACAGATAAACCCTAGGCGTCAGTTCAATTACATCTTCCATAATAATTTTGCTGTGGGATTTGAGACAATTCTCTTTTTCTGTTTTCTTGCTCAGCTTCCTAGCAAATAAATTTATTGAAGACTACGAGATGCTGAGAGTCACATAATACACGTTAATGTGTCCCTTCTGAACTGTGTAGTCAGAGATCTCAGGATATAAAAAGTTCTGCTTATGGAAATATTTTTGTTTTGCTCTGTTCTTCTTGGTTGTTTGCATTTCTCTTTCTCATTACTTAAGAGGTCGCAATACTGCTATTAGCCAGCCAGGCAGCAACTCTTCTAGAAATACCAGGGTCACCAGCATCTGTTTTTGAGTGCTCAAAATACGTAAACATGTTGGGGCAAGAGTGCTTTCTCTGTGTTTGTAGAGCATAGCACAGTGGAACCGTGATTTCTTTTGGGGCATTTGTGTGTACACTGGTGCTCTAATAAGAGTCATTGTTATTGAAGTTCCCGTTAAAATAATTCCTGAACTTTCTGCAGCAAAACACCTCCTTGTTTGGTTTGCCTCAAGGAATGGCTTTATCGCCGAATTTCTGTTAAAGCCCCTGAAGATACAGACACGCTTTGCGCTCTGATTTTGTCGTTTGCTTTATCATGGAAAAAATGTAAGTCGATCTTGTGTACTCTGTCACCTGGCTAACCAAACTGAGCTGCGGATGGCTTCAGGGGGAAGGTCGGCTTTCACGGCGCTCGCTGCATGAAAATTCACCGATTCACCTGTGGCAGCTGATGGCCCTTCCTGGTAAAGCGTATCAAAGGTCTGCAGCTTACGGTATTGTCTCTCACTGTTCTCCATGTTCCTTTTAATGTCTACTTTACTTTTAAAAGTGTTTATTTTTGTTTTGTTTTTTTTTTAAATAAAGCAAATCAGTTATAAAAGTCACCATTGTGCTTGATATTGAAACCTTTTAATGTCATTTGAGGCTATTATTTCTCCATGAATAGCCTAGGCCCTTACATGGTGGCAACCTGCAGCCGATGGGATGCGTTTCCCTTGGCAGACCGTGGGATACAGCTCTGCCTGGGGACTTGACACTCTGCTGCTTCTTCAGGTCTGGGTTACAGGGAACACAGCGCGGGTCTTCCTCAAAGACAAAAATCTCAGATAAGGTTATGAAGAGATAAGTCACTGAATTTTTCTTCACTTCCTCCTCTCTGTGTCAGATCAGGGGGAGACCACGATTACACCCTGACAGCAGCTAAGTCTTCCTTACCTGCCCCGGCTTTCTGTCTTTGGCCAGACCTGCGGGCAGGGCTGCCGTATGCTCCTGGCAGTCACAGGTAGATGAAAGACAAGACGAAAGTTTTCCTTAGCTTTTTGAGCCCAGCCTGCTGGGTGTAGTATAAATCTGGAAGGCTTGTGCTTGTGCCAGCAGGACAGCTCTGCAGAGAGCTCCGCACAGATTCAGCTTTGCTCTGTGGCTTGGCTAAGAGCAGTGTTAGTCTCTAACTAGTGAGTGTTTTGGGGGTTAAGGTTAGGT